ATTTGGTGACTAGTTCTTAAATGTGACGTCAATAGCATACTCCAGCAAATAAAAAATACAGGTAAATCGGGCTTCCTCAATTTTCAAAATTTCTGCTCTTCAAATGATAGATATTTAAGTTTCCCACACTGAGAATTCCATGGAGCCTTAAGAATTGTGAATGTTCAATTAAGCAAAAGCCTATAAAATTAATGTCACTTGGTCCCTAGGCCTCCATTTGCTTATCCAATGTGGTAGCTGAACTTTAACTTGATGGGTTGTGATAGTTCTTCTACCACTAACATCCAACAGCAGAGTTTACGGTAACTCCGATGGCTTTGATTTTATGAAGGGCATAATGACAGCCTTGGAAATCCGCTTTCTGTTTCTAAAAGGCATGACATAACAGGGCATGAAGGTTTACATATTGTGTATATTACATAATGTTAATTTTTTAAACGGGATAATAAAAAGTATTAAACAAAGAACTGTGATGTCAACTATGTGTGGAGTGTGGCGGGGAACTTGGTAACAACCCATATCAAACTGAATTTTCTTTAATTACTTCTATTACATCAACCCTTGGCAAATCATACAGCTTTTCATTCCCTAAAACAGTCATTAGCTTCCAAATTACTTGCAGAATAGACAATCTGATTTAAATTAAAACCTTTAACAGATTAAACCATAATTTATAGATGAAGTAAGCACCAAGCATGTTCCTATAACACACTAAAAAAAATAACTTTTTTACATATTGAAGACACTTTTAAACTAATACTTATTTCAGCACATACCCTATATCCTACCTGTTCATTTTTCTTCACAATTATATAGTTTGACATGAAGCTAGAATTTTCTGATCATGTCATAAAACAACACCTCTAAAATATGGCAAGTTGATTTAGATCCAAAAATAAAATTTCTGAAGTGTCAATAATAGACTGTGTCTTAAAAACATGCAACCCAGGCATGTGCCCTGACCGAGAAATCAAACTGTGACCTCCTGGTTCATAGGTTGGTGCTTAACCACTGAGCCACACTGGCCAGGCAGTACTCTATGGTTCCCATAGAGCACCACGCCTCTAGTAGACCATGGTGAAGAAAATTAATTATATGCAGAACGGAAAGAGAAAAGGCACTGTGTGTGAGGCGAACTTGGATGATCATCCCTTAAGATTTCAAATTGGATCTCTGCTCTTAGGGTGTTGGCTGCTTTTCAATCTCTTCAACAGAGGAACAGCCCAGGCCTTCATCAGTGGTATGAGAGGTAGGAGAGGATTTCCAAGTCTGAAAGGCTAACTTTTCTCCTTTTGCCTTTTTTTTTTTTTTTAAGCATCATCATGCCCAGTGGGTGTGGCTCAGTGGTTGAGCAGCAACCTATGAACCAGGAGGTCATGGTCTGAATCCCAGTCAGGGTGCATGCCCGGGTTGCGGGGTCCATCCCCCGTAGGCCTGAGCCGCGCCCAGAAGAGTCAAGTCCAGCCGACCCCTCTACCCCTTTAAGTAATCAAATGAGGTAAAGCATCCTTACCAGAGCACAGGGCCTGTGGACCAGGGCTCCGCTCTTGGGCCTGGGGTTGGCCCTCGGGTACGCCCTGAGCGGCTTGGCTCTGCCCTTGGGGTCTGGAAAGCCCCATGCAAAAGGTGCACTCCCTGTACCAGGAGACGTTCTTATTTCCAGAGGCGGGGACTCGAGGCCAAGGGAAATGGGTACAAACAAACCTTGTTACGCTGACCTTGACCTTCCCCGTCATTTCCCCACAATGCACTGTCCTGGCCCAAGCCCCTCCGCCCTACCAAGTTTTCACAATGGACTACTCTCTGTCTAATCCGGCATGTGAGTATTTGGCTCCAACTGCTCTTTGGGTCTTCACTTTGCTTATGAAGGCTCTGAGCACATGTCACAATGACTAATTACAAGTTGTATACTCTTCTTGAAAATGCATACCATTGAGGGCACTCGTGAAACCATTGTAATGCATTCTGAGATCCTAATCTTAAAACTCTCTATATCCAGTAGATATTTCAAATATGCTCTAAAATTATAAATATTGATTACGATCTTATATTCAAAGTGTATTCAACAACAATGAATACACATAGTAAAACGTTAAATCTTTCAAGGGAATAAATATAACACATACGAAGTCTACACGGCCCGGCCGGCATGGCTTAGTGGTTGAGCGTTGCCCTATGAACCATGAGGTCACGGTTCAATACCCAGTCAGGGCACATGCCTGCGTTGCAGGCTCCATCCCCAGTGTGGAGCGTGCAGGAGGCAGCCAATCAATGATTCTCTCTCATCACTGATGTGTCTATCTCTCTCTCATTCTCCCTTCCTCTCTGAAATAAATAAAAATATATTTTTAAAAAAACATCACCTTTGATCCTGGGATCGGCATCCGCACGCCATCTGCTCCGCTCAGACACCATGAACCCCAACTCCCAGCGCTTCGTCTTCCCTAACGCCCGCAACGAGTGTCCTCATCCTATGAGGTACTCAAGGAGGAACATGAGGTGCCTGTGCTGGGGGGTCCCCAGAACTCAACGGCAGCGAGTACGACGGTGATCAACATCCAGACTGACC